GTCTACATCAATTTGGTTGATGTGCCAACCAAGAGAAACAGCAAGAGTGAGGATGATCCTGATGGTTGTAGGTTTGACTACAGAACTGAAGGTCTCATGGTAGTCAATACCAGGACTTTGTGTGAAACCCTTAGCTACAAGTCTTGCTTTATGCCTAGCAATGGTGCCATCAGGATGAGTTTTTAATTTAAAAACCCACTTGTTGTCAATCACATTATGATGAGGTGGTGCAGGAACCAAGGACCATGTGTTGTTTCTAAGGAGAGCATCATACTCCTCCTTCATGGCAAGAAACCACTGTGGAGATAACAAAGCTTCTTCCACTGTAGAAGGTTCCTTATGGATGTTGAGAACTGCAGATAACACTTTGGGTTTAAAAATTCCAGATTTAGACCTTGTGGTCATAGCATGAGTACCTGCAGCAGTAGTGTTAGTTGGAACATGCTGTTCCACAGGTAAGTCTATGAAGATTTGCCCAATAGGTATAGAATGAGAGGAAGAATGAGATGATGCTGAAGAATGCTGTGAAGAAACAGGAGTGTTGTGAGGAGGTGGTTGATGAGAAGGAGAGGAGTTAGGTGAGTGATATCCTTGAGAATATGGGGAAGATTGTTGAGGGGTTGTAGTAGCAGATGGTATAGGATTGGTGACAACAGGTATTGGTGGATGAATAATTGGTAACAAGGAGGCAGTGGGATAGGAGTAAGGTGATGTGTGAGTGACAGGTGCAGTTGAGGTCTTGTTTGTAAGGGGAAAAGTGTGTTCATCAAAGAGTACATGTCTTGTAATGATGATTTTCTGGGATGGTAAGAGGACCTTGTACCCTTTATGCTGAGGACTGTAGCCAATAAATATAGAAGGTAGGCTTTTAGGCTGAAGTTTATGTTTGTTGTATGGTTTGAGGAGGGGATAGCATAGACAGCCAAAAGCCTTGAGAAAGTGATAAGAAGGTGCATCTTTATGGAGAGCCTGAAAAGGAGACCTAAAGTGGATCAGTTTGTTTGGTGTTCTGTTTATCAAATAAGTTCCACTTGCAAAAGCTTCATCCCAAAAGGAGAGGGGTAAACTGGACTGAGTAAGCAATGAGAGACCAACTTGAACTATATGTCTGTGTTTGCGTTCAGCCAATCCATTTTGTTCTGGGGTGTAGGGGCATGAGATTTTTGAGGATATGCCTTGAGCTGAGAAAATAGGTTGAAGAGATTGGAACTCACCACCTCCATCACATTGAAAAGTCTTGATGGAAGACTTATAAAGGTTTTGAACTAAGTTGGTGAAATGCAAGAAGGCAGATTTAGTGTCTGATTTGGCTTTGAGTAAGTATAGCCAAACAAACCTAGTGCAATGGTCTATAAAGCTAATGTAATATCTAAAACCTTTGTGAGAGACCACAGGTGCTGGTCCCCACAAGTCAGAATGCACAAGGTCAAAAGGCTTAAGGTTCTTAACATCTGCATCATGGAATGGTAATTTGTGAAACTTAGACTGCATGCATATATCACACAAAACATCAGACACATTATCAATGAAAGAAATATTAGAATTCTTCAAGGCAGTTTTAACAATAGCATAAGAAGCATGACCAAGTCTTTTGTGCCAAACATCAAGGCTAATAGTGTCATTAGACTTAAGGGAATTTAAGGAAGTCTGAAAACAAGAAACAGATGAAGAAGTGGCTTGGGATGGTTGCTCTTGTGCCTTAACAAGTGTGAACCGGTAGAGACCATCCTTAAGGTTGCCTTGAAGTAGGAGAGCACCGGTCTTGAGGTCCTTCACAAAACATAGAGTGGGATGAAATTCAAAAAACACTGAGTTGTCTTTAGCAAATTTTGAAACACTCAAGAGGTTTTTGGTGATTTGGGGAGTGTGTATGAGGTTATTGAGAAGAAATGTATGAGAATCTTTGGATGATGGGCATTTCAACATAGAATTACCTAGGTGAGCAATGTCCATACCTGCACCATTGGCTGTTTGCACCCTCTCACTTCCAAGATAGTCATTGGCTAGGCTTAAGTTGTTGAAGTCATTGGTGAAGTGGTGAGTAGCACCTGAGTCTGGAAACCAGTATAGATCTTGAGAACTTGTGTCACTGTTTTGAGGACCAAGGCTTGCTACATTTGCTGAAGGAAAATTGCTGGGAGTGCTTGATGTAGCTTGGTTCTGTGTTCTTGAAACAAAGTTGGAGTCAAATCTGAAATAACAATCTTTGGCTGTGTGATTGTTATAGTTGCATATTTGGCATCTGGGCCTGTTTGAGTTCCTTCCACCTCTACCTCTATAAGATCCTGCTCTTCCTTGTCCTCTTCCTCTAAATCCTGTGGATTGATTGTCACCAAATCTGCCTCTATTTCCACTGAAACCTCTGCCTCTAGTTTGAGAGTAAGTGGTGAGATTTGCAGCAAGCTGAGATCCTTCAGTGTCATTAGAACTCTCAATGCTGTCTAATCTGCTCTCAAAACTCAGCAAAATAGCATATGCTTCCATCATGGAGCATTTCTCAGATCTTGAGGTGAGGCTTACAACCACAGGGTTGTACTCTTGTCCTAAACCAGAGAGCAAGTGAAGGATTTGGTCACTCTCTTCAATTCTATTTCCAGTGGCTGCCAGCATATCACACAGACCTTTGATTTTGTTAAAATATTCCCTCATTTTTTGTGTACCTTTCTTCATTGTCTGTAGTTCAAGCTTCAGTTGCATTTGCTTGGCTAGGCTATGGCTGGCAAAGCTTTTCTTCACACACTCCCAGATCTCTTTAGCTGTGTTGAGGCCAACTGTGGTGACAAGGATGCTTTCTGAAAGAGATGAAAGAAGCCAAGAGGCTATGAGCTGGTCCTGCTTGACCCATTGCAAATAAGCCTTGTTCACCACCAGATCATTTGTATCCGGATCTCTAGCAAGCTTGTCAGGTTGTGGAGTTTCTCCATTTAAAAACCCAAAAAGATCATAGCCCCTCAAGGTAGTCAAGATCTGTTGCTCCCAGATGAGGAAGTTTCCTTCATTAAGTTTGGTGGATATTAGCTGGCTTTGAAGGTGTATTAAAGGCTCGGTCTGCTGCTGGGAAACAGCCATGGGAAAAGTAATAAATGAAGCTGGAAGGAGGAGGAATCAGAGCCTAAGCTCTGATACCATAAAAGGAAAAATACAAAAGCATGCATGAAAGATGCATGTGCATGATAATGCAAAAGG